CCTCTTTTTCCATCCACACCCTCGGCGCGCAAACAACGCAGGTCGCAAGAGTCGGTGGGCTGGCATGCGCAATACGTGGCCCAACCATCGGAGCCTGGTGCGTAATATAACGGTGCTGAGCGGTTCACACGCTTTACCTGCAACAAATACGCGGGGTCTGAAGAAATAAGACAGGGAAGCATGTGGAAGGGAGTCACATTTCATCAATGGAGCCATTCCACACTCAGGATAGTGCATACACACTTCGATAAACGGTCGTGTTTACAGTGTCACTGTTCGTTCAGTATTGTTGTTTGAGGGCGAGCGCTGGCCAATTCGCGTGGAGGACATGCGTCGTCTTTCTGCTTTAGACAACGGTTGTTTGAGGAGGATCACTCGTGTGAGCTGGCAACATCGAGTTCACAGTGATGACGTTCGAGCTTGTGGCTTGGGGACTGCAAGTATTCCCTTTAACCAGCTGGTTTTGCTGAGCCAGTTTAGATGGCCCAGTCACGTACTACACACGTCGCCTGAGCATTTACTGCGCCGCCCTCTATTCGCTCGTCAAGGACCGGGCTGGAGGCGACCGCGTGGTGGTCAGCCTTCCATTTGGCGACAACACATGAAATCGTCGACGTGGCGTGTATCCGCCGCTGGACCTGTACGTCTTCCAGGGTGGGGACCTAAAGATGAAGTGCCAATGGCTTGACACGCTTGAAGAGATGAACCGCAAGCGGAATCAGTGCTTTGTACACGGAATTGTACTGAATCACATGTATAATACTACAAACATTGAAAATGACAAAAAACATAAAAAACCGGCGTGTAAAAAATAAAAATGTTTTGTTTTATTTTTTGTCAAATGGTACTTTCCCTTGATATATATATATATATATATATATATATATATATATATATATATATATGCGGGATGCTTCTTCACCGCAGCAGGGCTAAACCAACTTACACTTAAACTAGGTCTTTATAATGTGGTTAAAATTCATTCCATTTCATTTAGTTTGTTCTGCGTGCCTGATAATCTTTTCCTAACTTGCACGTGTCGCTTATGCCAATGGTGGTAAACTTGCGTGATTTTATCGCGTGGTATTAAAAAAAAATAACTTTCGGATATTTTTTACTTATTGCGGATTCACTTATAACCAATTCCTTCCACATGCTCATTTAGCGAGTATTTATGTCGTCATATGCGTTTACTTTATTCGACATCGGCATTTCGAATGATTGGCTGTTGTTTGACATCCCAGGTGTGGCTGCGCTTGATGTGCATGTTGATAAGGTGCCTACCTGTCTATTACCCACTACCTCGTCCATACTGGCTCCAGGAGACAGTCGGTTGTTGCTGGAGGGGACGGGGTGCACCGTCCTCGTGGCGGTGCTAGGCTCAAAGAGTGGTTAAATGCACTCAGTGTGGAGCGGACTACGGTCCAGCCACCGCCTTGTGTGCACTTGATTCCCCAAATACAGCGTGCTTGTGTTTGCCTGTGAAGCAGTGTGGGCCGGCTCCGTTGATGAAATGTGGCTTCCATCCACATGCCTCCCGGTCTTATTCCTTCGGGTTTACACTGGATAAGGGGTGTGTGGTTGGAGCTGTGAGTGGTGCAGCGCAAGCCATCATTGGTCCCACTGTAGGCGCGGGCGACCTGTGGCTGGCCACAGTGACAGGCAAATCCGAAACCGGCTGCCGCCAACCATATATATGTTGTAAGCACTGATAAGATGAACTGTTGAGCATAATATTGCATACTTAAGATCTAGATTCGCTTGTAACACATCGATGATGAAGTTCTCAGATGGAAGAGCAAGCAGAATTATATCCCACCACATCTGTGTCGGATCCTTGAAGGATGTAGGCACAGATGCCTATGCAGTGAACTCGGATAGCAAGTATGTTTCCGTCTTCCTTTGTCGGAGCCGAGTTAGGCACATAAGCGCTGCTATGAGTGCTGCTGTTATGGCATTGATGAGAAAAACAGCAGGAGGGGAACGGCACAAAGCAATGAGCAAATACCCGGGGAAACTATCTCACATTCAGGTTAAAATAGTAAACGAAAAGGACTAAGTGGCCCCACACGTGTAAGAGACTAACAGATTAGGTAAAAGAACCCCAACGGAAAAAGTGGGTAATTCACGGATCGTGTGGACCCCAACACTTTCATGCAGAATCACCATCATCATTCATCAGTATACACGTTAGCTAGAGGTGGGAAACACCTCAGGTACTGTGCCGCAATACATAAAGGTAAAGGAAAATAAATACAACAGTTGCATGCCAGCTGAGCTACCAGAAACGGATAGGCATCGTTCCGGTAAGCTATCAGCCGGCTACTAGGCAAAAAGAAACATTATTATGTTTTACGCTACGAAATGAGATCGTAGGTGGAGGGGGAGGCTAAAAGGGATGGGGAGGGACAAAGAAAATCACAGCAGGAATGCCACTGAGGTCGGCTCCTTGCCATGTCAGCTAGTGTATCTAGCCAAACGTGTTCATCGTCTTTTGGACCCCAACCAGAGAGCCGTGACGCTCCAACTGAGGCCAGCTCTGAATTGAGGGCGTTCATTCATCGCGACAAAGTCATCGGTTGGCCACCCCTCCTCTTCTTCCATCCACATCCACGGTGAGCAAACAACGCACCTCATGGAAGTCGGTGGGCTGCAATGCGCAAAACGTGGACAAGCCATCAAAGTCTGATGCGTGAAATAACGGTGCTGAGCGGTTCAGTTCCTTTTTATGTACCGCAAAAAATGCGCCGAAAACACGCTCGTTGGTTAATCAGTGTTCCCACCAGATGTGAGCCCAACTGCGAAGGCATCGATGGTCGAACGTAACTAGCCTCTTCATGTCCGCTGATCTTAGGGGCCAGGTTTCTCAACCGTACAGTTAGGTCGAACGTACCCCTGCACTGTACACTCTACTCTTCAGGGCGAGAGTAATGTTGCGCCGCCGCCATAGGTCGCGAAGGTTAGTAAAAGCACTTTGAGCTTTTGCTATACGGTTCGTGATCTCGTCTTCGATCACAAGGGCGCTAATAAAACTTCCCAGGTAGTTGAATTTCTGAACGACTTTTAGCTGATCCCCACCAAGGATCAACGAAGGAGGCGGACCAGGCCAATCATGCAGAATGGCAACAGGTAGAGCAAGTTTATCCGTCAAACTCTCGACGTCTTAGTGCCGTTGTTCTAAAGTAAAGCATGTTAGAATGGACGATCAACAGGCGATCGAAGAGTCCGGTACAGACAAGGGTGGGATCGGCCTAATTAAGTTAGTCGACCGCTAATCATTCTCTGTAGTGCGTGGAATACAGTCTTATACAATGCAAGCCTTAACACTGATCCCCAGACCAAAGGGCGGTTAATTCAGCTGCCTTGACATACATTGTCTAATAGACTATAATAATAATAGGAGTAATAATAATAATGATAAAATCAGGAAGAATGAGCAAGAAAATAACTCGGCAAATGGAGCCCGAAATAAAAGAAGGAATGGAAGAGCGCCACTGCGTCATATCCGATAGGGCGGATGGCAACGGATGTGATTGATGCTTGTGGACTCCATCCGGGAAGACAGCAAGCACGAAGCCTGCTCAACACTTCAGTGAACTCCACACGCACTCTCATTTTACCGGATCACCTCGGAGCTGCACCCAAACCATGCGCAGTACCAAAAAACAATACACACACACAAAAGTGTCATGTTTAGAAGAAACATGAGAAACACATACACTTCGCGGAAGCGATTTAGTTCGATAGAAACCTCGAAAAGACACCGGAGAAGCCGCCGCTCAGGAACCAAACGACGAATTTCAGTGCTGCTACTCTCACTCGGTTCTCCCAGTTGATCCGAGTTCAGTTCAGTGGAACACCTACGACTTGGGCATTGAAAAACGGTAAATCTCCAGTTGCCACGAAGTATGTCAACAGTGCAACAATGAGGTTGAGCGCAAACATAAGATAGAAACAAAATGGAAAGTAGTGCACAGAACTAATCGGCATGGAATAAAGGCTGCCACCCTACCTTACACTGACAGACTGATATCCCGCCGTCTCCATAGACGGTTGAGCCAATGGAAAGCCACACGGGCCTTGCTGATACGCGAAGTAACTTTCTCAGTGATGTGACCATCAGAGGTGACACAGCTACCAAGGTAAGTGAACCGATCCGCCACATCCAGTGGCTGTTCGCTGACAGCTGAAATCGGAGGTCCATCGGTCCAGCTCTGCAGTAGCAATTTGTCCTTTTAAGGTGTAAAGCACATGCCGAAGCATGCAGTGCTACACACTATCTAGTAGTGTTTGCATAGCCAACGCATCAGACCTAAGAAGATGCTATGTCGTCCGCATACTCCCGGTTTGCCAGTCGGTCACTTGGCAGAACTTCGACTCCCGATGAGCCAGAGAGAACTGAGTCATTCATGTTCATTTGGATTACTAAGCTGAATAGAAAAGAAGACATAGGACAACCCTGGCGAACGTCATTTGTTGCGAGGGTCTAAGAAGACAGCTTTCATAGACCCATAACTGATCTCGGGAGTCAGGATAGAAAGATTTCACAATTGAAAGTTTTCCAGGCACTGCTTTCCGAATAGACAGCAGCACAAGCTAACACGATCAACAAAGTCAATGGTGACATTCAGATCAAGGAAAACCACTATAGTCAACTTTCGGCATATGTGACTGCCCCAAGAGTTGACGAACAGAGCAAGTACATGTTCGATGCGACCATGACAATGGCTTAAGCCAGATTCGTTTCCAAATGACTTAGTTATCATGGCGACCAGTAAGCCGGCGAAAAATGACATGCGTGAGAAGTCTGGGGGCGATGAAAAGAAGGTTAAAATTTTGATCTTCGCATAAAGTTCCTTGACCCTCATTGAAGATGAAGAAAACAGTTGATAGTAGCCAGGCTGAAGGCACCTCTGAAGTTATGCAGAGGAGAACACACACGACAATACAACCAACTGGGTTGAGCTGCGAGTGCATAAGAAGAGAGATGAATTACTCACCGAATCGGTTTTCTTGGTCTTTCGTTGATTCGGGCCGCACTGGTAGGCTTTCTGATCGCCAGGACGTTGAACCGTCACCTTGACCTTCTTCGCGTCCAAGGGAGACGAGGATCCGACCAGAGAGCTTTTCTACAGATAAAAATACAGATAGAATTGAAGTGAAGTGCGCTGAAGGTGGTTCGATAGCACATCAAATGAGTAAACATCCATGCCAAGTGAACATAGAAATGGACGGAAAACAAGTGGGTCGCAGCGAACAGGTTTTGTGCACAGATGCTAGTGCATTCAACGATCACATGAAGATCCAGTCTTCTGTGTGGAATAAGCATTGCGATTGTACAGGATACCGGGAAGTGGCAGAGGGAGGTAAGGAAGAGATTATTGCTTTAAGTATCATCTGATTAGCTGCAACATTCAAGATGATCTTACGACATCGAACAGTTCAATCAGACGCCCATGATTGGAGCACAACGGAACAACGGTCCTCGCTCTTTTGTCTCCAGTCACCAGGGTAATTGTTAACAATGGTGTGGAAAATGAGATAGAATGTACCAGAATAAAAAAGGGGATAGGAGAGTGGGTAAGAATTCCTCGGGTTAGAATGTTTACAGATGCACACAGGAGGCCGAATGTGGGGACCCCATCGGGTCCGTGGAAGAACCATGTCGAATAAGGTATGCAACAGTTGCAGTGGACGATTTCGTGGTCCAAAAATAAGATGAGATTTGTCAGTCAATCGGTTGACTTGCATGTATCTTTCTGCCGTCTCAGAGTCTTACTCAACTAACTGCTGTGGCACAAAACAATGAATTTCAAGGTCGGGGCACAATAGGCATTCGGAAGGCCTGATGATCTGACCAAGAGGCGGTGCAAGCCTAACAGATACGATGGTGAGGCATCAGAAGGTCTCATTGCTATTAGCAAGTGGTGGACTGCAGTGAGCTCACCAGATGCTAGCAAAACACCGTGACCTTAATATTTTCAGCGCAGAGGGACCGCGTCACCGACCCATACAGCAGCAGCTGCCTACTCAAACAGATTTACCAGTGACTTAAAAGATTCGTCATGGCAAGACTCATCCAGACAGCCGCCAGATATCCAGGAAAGCCCTCGTCAAAATAGCGCATAAGCACCCATGACCGTACTCTTAGGAGTCAGCGAATAATGCCACTGAATCCTGGGTGACGGCTGTGGACCGCCATGATTGATATCTAACTGCGATATGGCGCGTCTCATCCTCCACTGACATACATGTGATGAACGTGCAGAGGCAAACCTCATAGCGTTTTCCTGGATATGTATTAGTCTGTCAGAATCTCAAAATGTCGTTAACCCCCCTACTATTCCCTAATACCGGTACCGGTACCCAGTCGTCATGAAAAATGACAAAAACTTTGCAAAACCCCACATTTTATATTATTACAAGCAGATTTGTTCAGTGACGTAGACACCGAAGATGATACTGCTACCATGATAAGTGGGGACCGATCAAGCAATTCCAGTAGCCGTTCGATGATAGCCAAGAGCAGTAGTGGATGGTTGAGACAATCCTGTAACTGTGTCTTGCAATTAGCGTGCTAAGAGTTAGTTGGTGTAAAGGCTGAATTCAACTCAGTTTAACAAAAAGTCCTCTGGTGCCGCAAGTGTGGCATACAACATTGTGGCAACACTCCACAGAAATCATTTGTTGATGACTGCGGTCAAGTAGGCAAGCAGGATTACATGGCCATTGGGTTACCTAAATGTACGCTTAAACGGAATTCAGTAGTAGACCAGCAGCGCCAATTAAACGGCGAACTGAGACAGCTAAAATGACAGAAAACTGGAACTGGATCCATATATTTGTTTCCATCAAAGGAGTAGAAGCAGTAACAGCAGCTACAGGTGACGATAAGAATGTATCCATAGGTAAGAATAGCAAGAATATTTCTCCGATGTGTGATAAGCTGTTCCCCTAATATAGACAGATGATTAATACAGTTATGCTCAAATTGTGGATAGGATTGTCTTCACCAACATCAACAGACCAGTATCTTGTACTCTTCATTGCTAACGACCATAATATACTGAGAGATAATAATAAGGGATGCGTAGCGAAGCCTAAAAATTCGACCACTGATACTGTGATTTGAATAGTGTTCTACGTTACACACTACGGATATTTTCCTCCAAGTTCAGCAACTAACTTTATTGTTTGTTTAAGGGAACTAATTTGAAGTAAGCAATGTTGACTTAGTCTGTTGATCGTTTGATTTGATTCCGTGAAGTTATCGAAATTCACTTCTAGTCGAATATGGTCACAAAGTTAGACACTTCAAAAGAATTGTCAAGACATTTGTGAACGAAGAAAAACACAGTGTTGACTGGCCGGCAAGTGGGACTTAGACGCTGTCTAGCAAAAATGCACAAATACTCCAGTCGGTAAAATTGTTGACCTCGAGATTCCTTTTCAACCAAGTGAATTCTAAGTATTGAGATGAGAAATTTGGTTTTCACGGTACCGACAGACTGCGTACTTGTTTAAGTACTTCCCCTTCTTTGGTCGCGAGAGATCAAAGCATTCCTCGTTCATATTATGATGTTTCGTCTTGCCAACTATTCTAGTCGACAAAAACTCTTGAAAGTTTCCTAAAGTCATCAAAAAGCTCTCCGCACCGCCTGTTCTAATTCCAAAGTTTGTGAATGTATGTATTTCCCCCATTGGTTGTACTGTTTCCATGTTATTTTCCTCGGACTTCTTCAAAGGGATTGCACTCTTCTTATGTGCTCACTAAAATCTATCTCCCAATGATCTGGAGAGGCCCACGTTGTTTGTGTTGTTAGTTAGTTGTCCACGATTCGAAATAACATCTCCCACCCCTACACACTGTTTTAGCAAGTACGCTATTTAGTTCTGCCAGGCCGTTGAAATTTAAAGTTGTTCCCCCTTACGTCTCCGTAACACAACTCCATCCTGTTCAATTTGTCTCGCTTGTTAGTCGACCCGAAAGTAATGATGCATCAGTTGTGAGACCGTTTGGTTGATTGAAAATGAGCTCCTTTTGTTGCTCTTTTCACTTCGCATTAGTTTCCCACTGAATCTATGTTGTAATCCTGTTGCATTGTTGGTGTAAATTGCTGAAAACGCTCCTCCACACGGGTGTGTAAAGCTTGTCTTGATTTGACTTGAGCAAACTTTAAGCAAACATTCCGCGTCACAATCGATCCTACCAGATAGATAAGGCAGCATCATACAAAAATGCTAAACTGGTAGTCCGCCGGATATCAGAGAGAAATCTCGATCGCCATAAACGAAACCGGGAGTGAGATCTAGTCAAAAATATTGCCGGCACATGTCGTAGACACAAGCGGGTCGAAGGACACAACTGGAAGAATGTCTTGTGGCATGTTCTAAAACCCGATACGGAATGCAAAAGCGATCCCAGATTAAATACACCTAAAACGTTGGAGATTAGGTTGTCAGAAACTGTTTCAGCTACTTACGCTCGCTGTCTCTAGAGACTGAGCGAAACGCGCCGAGGGAAATGTGAACGCAGGAGCCCTCATTCCTCACAAAAAAGCTAATATGAAGTAGTTTCTTGTGCCAGTATGAAAAATGGCGGGGGACCGAGGGGGGGGGACGCAGGTGAAACACAGAGCACAACCATTCACAAGGCATCCACAGAAAGAATAAACCTTGGTTCCAAGTAGAATAAGTTCGACATTTGCCAGCAGTGTATGTGCGTGTGTGCGTGTGCACAGGGCCTAAGTGCGAGAGCAGTCAAAAGTAACCTTATTTTTATGACCAGGTAGGGGAACACGGAAGCGTACACAGTGAGCGCATTGCAACTTTATGCCTTTCACAATGTGCATACTTGACAAGTTTATCGATTGCGTGGGGGAAGCGGGGAAGAGGGACTCTTTCCGATGACTGTTGAGCCACTCACTATTTGAAGCAGCAGATTCGTTTCCAAAGTACAATGGTTGGCGGCATCCGGTTTCGGATTTGCCTGTCACTGTGGCAAGCCACAGGACGCCTGCGCCTACAGAGGGACCATGGATGGCTTGCGCTGCACCACCCACAGCTCCAACCACACACCCCATATGCGGTGTAAACCCGAACGAATCAGACCGGGAGGCATGCGGATGGGAGCCACGTTTCATCAACGGAGCCGGCCCACACTCCTTCACAGGCAAACACAAGCACGCTGTATTTGGGGAATCAAGCGCACACAAGGCGGTGGCTGGACCGTAGTCCGCTCCACACTGAGTGCATGAAACCACTCTTCGAGCCTAGCACGGCCACAAGAACCGTGCACCCCGTCCCCTCCAGCAACGACCAACTGTCTCCTGGAGCCAGTATGGACGAGGTAGTGGGTAATAGACAGGTAGGCACCTTGTCAACATGCACATCAAGCGCAGCCACACCGGGGATATCAAGCAACACCCAATCACCTGGAACGACAAGATGAAATAAAACAAATACAATAATGCATACAGATACGGTGGCATAACTCTAAGCTAAATAAGCATATGAAGTAAGTTGGCTAGCAACAAATCCGCGATAAAGAAAAAATGTCCACAAGTTAGTTAAAAATGCTACAAAACGCAACAGAGTTACCGAAAATAAGCGCAATTAGTGTAAGCCACGTGGCCAGTTAATAGAACATTATTCAGGGAGGCAGAACAAACCAAATAAAGCGGAATGAAATTTAGCCAGCTTAAAAAGACATAGTTTAAGTTGGTTTAGCCCAACTGCGGTGAAGAAGCATCAAGAATGCAACATCAGCCTCAGCATGGGGCATCCAAAGTACAATAATTGCCCGAATACCTACATGACACCCAGTTGAAGTCAGACAGAGTGAGTAATGGGCGACGAAGAGTCATCGAAAATGGGTCAGCAAATTTGTATTATAGCACAATGTGTGGTTGAGTAGTATTATTTGGCGTCAATTGAGAAAACTTCATCGAATTCACATGATTGCAGATCGAACGCGGCTTGATAGTAGATGTTAATACGACACATTTAGCCTAGTTCTTAATAAAAGATGTTCCAGAAATGCACCCTCGTGGCTCCAGAAGTGCCCGTAGGACATTACGGGGGAACGCGGCGCGCGAAGTTCATCCGTTTCAGTGACGATGAATGAACT